CATAGAGGAGTCGTATGGGAACTAGATAAAACATATATGGGAGATGCATGGGGCTCTATTTGGGATCTATATGGGCTCTCTATATGAGACTTGTAGAGACACGGGTGATCAGCCCCGCCCCCCCCCCCCTTCCTTTCCGCGCCACGACGGCCACCCCGCCCGCCGCGCCGCGCCTCACTCCCATCCCCGCCCCATTCCACGCGCACGCGCACGCCCCGCCCGCCCCATTCCACGCGCGCACGCACGCGCGCGCCGACGACTTGCCGTCGCCGTCGCAGCGGAGAGCCGTGGGAATTATTAGACGTCGACTACAGTCCGTACGGGGAGTAAGAACCACGTTAGCCTCAGGGTGCGCTAATGTCATTCGGCGTTTGACCCCTCGGACGCCCGTCGTGAAGGTCCCCCCGTGGGGCCGTCGGCCTTTGGCTGAAGGGTTCGCGTTCGTGACCCACGTTCTTGTGGCCACATTGCGGCTGCGCTGCGGCCGCTGGTACAACAACAGAGTGCCACTCGAGCAACAAACTATTCAGCACCCTGCAGACCAACGAGGGGCACCGTGGTTTTCGAAAAAAACGCCCACCCGTATTTCTCGTTGAAGCGCGTCCAACCCCGGGCCCCAATTTCAAAGTCGGGGGCGTTCGACGAGGGGGAGTGCGAATCGTTTCGAAATAAACGCCCACTTTTGCAAAACGCTTCCTGCGCGACAGGATGAACATTGAAATTTGGGGCGTGGGGGCGAGCTTGCGCCGCCCCTTGAACGTTGCCGATGAGTTTTTGTTTTCGAAAACACGGGTAGCACTACAATGCGCCGCAACACTAAACTGGTATATCGAGCCCACCGCGGCGCCAAGATCTCCCCAGAAGCCCCCGAGGCGCCCCCAAGAAGCGTCAAGAGGTCTCCAAAGACTTCCAAGAAGCCCGCAAGAGGCCCCAAGAGGCCCCCAAGAAGCCCGAGAAAGGCACCCAAGATCCCTCGGAGAGGCTCCCGAGAAGTATTCCAAGGAAGACCTATAGGCCTGTCATCCACAACCGAGGCATGGAGGCGTGACGGGCCGAAGGCCACTAGATCTGATGCCCCATGTGGCTTGCCACAGCGGTGCACGGCGTGGCAGATGTTAGGCAGTTGTTGGTTCCTGGCTAAGGGTTCCCAAGGGCCTTCGGCCCAACCCGCTGGCCACCCGTAAGGATGCACAAACTTCAGCCTGAGGCCGAGATGGAGGTGATCAAACCAGAGCGCCCAAATACAGCAAACACGGCAAGCAAGAACGAAGAGCTAAGCGCAAGTCCAGTGCGCCGTACAACAACTAAACCAAGAAGAAGGGACAGAAAAACAAGCACAGCGATACAAACAGCTCCCCCAGTGAACATGGCCTCGTCTAGAGATGAGGCCTCCGTTGGCCTCTCCATCAGGACCCGTACACTTCCCAGGTCGCTGGTTCTGCCGCTCCAGACGGCCGCCCGCCAAGACGGTCTCCAAGACGGCTGCGATGGCCCCAAGAGAGCCCAAGATGGCACCATGCCGGGCCGAGATGCCCCCAAGAGGGCCCCCAAGAGGGCTCCAAAACGGCCGAAAAGGCCTTCAAGAGGACCTCCAGAAGGCCCGAAGTGGCCAACATCCGTGTTTGTTTCCCATCGGTTGTTGAAGGATTATGGCGGTTGCTCATGTTCGGCCTTCAGACGGCCCCAGAGGCTACCAAGCTGGCCCCAAGAGCGCCCAAGAGGCCTCCGAGGTGGCTCCCTGACGGCCCAAGAGGCCCCCTAGACGGCCTCAAGAGTGGCCTAAGACAGCTCAGGAGACCCTCGAAGACGGCCCTGAAGCGCCCCTAGAGGGCCCCAAACCATCCCAGACGGCTCCCAACACGGCTTCCGACGGCGTCAGACGGGCCAGGAACGCCCTCAGACGGCCAAAGAATACACCGAGGAGCCTCCCCCAAGAGGCCCAAGGAAGCCCCCAAGAGGCCTCCCGGAGGCCCCGAGGAAGCTCCCAAGAGGCCCCCTGAGTGCCCTCAGAGGCTCCCTGAGTGGCCTACTCCGCCTCCTCCTCCTCCTCCTCCTCCTCCTCCTCTTCCCCTTCCTTTTTCCTTTCTCTCCTCCTCTTGTTCTGGGGGGCACACGGGGTTTCCGCAACGGCTGGGGGAACACATAGTCCGATAGCTTCGCCGAGCTCTAGCCGCCACGCTCGGCCACACAGGCGCTTCCGAAAGACACGGGGCGGCGGTGATTTACCGCAGGCGTCTCAGATCCGCCGCCCCCTGTTTTATCACAGGGGGTGCTCGGCGTGCGAGACGTTGCGCTTGGCGTGCTAGACGTTCCAAATGGCCTGAAGCTTTACCCGCTGCGGCCGCACGGCAAGACCTGGGCGGGGCTCCATACCCAGAAAGTCAGGCTCCAAGACGGTCTAGATTGCCTCCCAGACGGACCCAAGACGCCTCCAAGACGGCGAAAGCGGCCGCCAAGACGGTCCCGAGACGGCCAAGATGGCCCAAGAAGGCCTCCAGGCGGCCAAAATCATGGATTCCAATTCTTTTAGTTCCTCAATTATTTTAGGGTTCTCGCCTTTTCGGGCTTCCGACGCGCCAAGACGGCCCCATAGGCCTCTAAGACCGCCCCAAGACGGACCAAGAGGCCTCCAAGAGAACCGCCAAGGCCCCCGAGACGGCTCCAAGACGGCCTCACAAACCTGAGGGGCCCCCACGACGGCCTCCGAAGGCTGAGAGGTCCTTCAGAAGCCCCCGAGGGGCCCCCTAAGAGGCCCCCAAGTGATCCCAGGAGGTCCCCAATAGGCCCCAGGAGGCCGCCAAGAGGCCCCTCAGAGGCCCCCTTAACAGGCTACCAGAAGACCACAAGATGGCACCAAGAGGCCTCCTTTTCCACCACCACCTCCTCCTCCTCCTCCTCCTCCTCCTCCTCCTCCTCCTCCTCCTCCCTATGTTCCCCCAAGGGAATCTACGGGAGGGGCACATCGTCCAATAGCTTGGTCAGACTTTGGCCCAACGTTAGGCCGCATGGGCATTTCTGGAAGGTGGGTGGGGGGCGACGGTTCGCCGCTGGCGTCTTCGATGATCCCTTTGGAGCCCTTCTAGATTCTTCGAAATCCATCGGAATCCGTAAGAACTCCGTATGGCTCATTAGGAAGTCATTCGGGCATCCGCACGAATCCTCATGACGCCCCTGGGAAATCATTTGAACATCCCAAGACTCCTTAGGCCTCCTTCGGGTTTCTTAATGGCTCCTGAGGGTCCCCAAAAACGTTTCCATCGCTTGGCGGCACACCTCTCGCTTCCGCCGCCCTCCGCCGAGCTTCCGCCGGCTTCCGCTGGCGGAGGCGGCCTCGTTTTACTTCCGCCGACCTTCCGCCGTGGAAGAGATGACAACTCC